ATGTTGTAGAGATTATGAATTTGCATGTTTTGAATATTTTCTGGAAATTTTTTACCAGGTATTTTGAAATTTGCGGGATTTTTATCGAATAGAAAATTATCTGAATATTGAAAAATGATGCTTCAGTACAATAAAAGTTTTGAAACGTTACTTTACACGATCTCTGGTAATTTGTTAATTTTTTGAAACTGTGCATTTTTGCCTCGTTGAATTTTTTGTTATTTACTGTTATACTATCTGATGATATTTTGATACAAGCTTAATTACTTTGTAAATGATATTATGTGATGATGTATATGCATATGTGATTGAATGAAATATGCTGGGAGTTATAAAGGGCCAGAATCCTTTGAGATTATGTCTGTGTCAGGGAATGAGGCATAATGGGCCAGAATTCTTTGAGATTCTGTCTGGGTCTGGGAAAGGAAATCTGATCTAAATAATTATGTATATCTGATATGTTCTGGTACTGTAAGCACAAAGGGAAGCATAAGTGGACAGAATTCTTTGAGGTTCTGTCTATGTCAGAAAAATTCATAAAGGGCAAGAATCCTTTGAGATTCTGTTTGTGTCAGGGAAAGATTTGAAATGTGATTTGAAAATGTGATTTGTACGATTCTGTGATATGAATTTTATTCAGTTCTTTGGTATCTGTTATTTGATTCTGTATGATTATATATTCTGTACGATTAACTGAACTCAATATGATTTATCTGATTTATGTACGAATATCTGAATTATGTCTGATTCTATACGATTATCCAAATTCTGTGTGTTTATCTGGATTTCTGATGAATATCTGAATTCTGCACGGTTATATGAATCAGTGAATGAATTACTATGTATCTCTATTTTGTGATTTCCAGTTCAGTAATCAAGTGATTCGAAGTAAGCTGTTTTAAATCTTCTGTATAGCATTTTTAAATGAGAGTGTTTGGAAATTTAGTTCGACTAGTGTGATCTTGCTGAGCTGTTAGCTCACTGTGGTTTTATTCGTGATTTTCAGGATCTCGGAAAGGAAAGAAAGTTGTGGACTAGCCGAACAGAATCTGATATGAAATTATAGGTATTTTATCATTTTGATTTTTGTACAGTCATGACTAGTTTACTTTTATGTTATGTACCTTATGCCTGAAGTCATGTACTGTAATGTATATGATTATTTTGATGTATGTAAAGAAATACTTTGTGGATGAGTTTTTCTGTATTTAAAAATTTTAGTGGCTATGTAGTCTATTTTTCAATGCATATTGGAAGAATGCCTGATAAGAAATTCCAAAACTAGATTCTTGGGTTCGCCGTCGTAACTCAAAATGATAGGATCCGTCCTGGTTGGGCTGGGTTGTGATAATTGACACCCGAAAATAACACACGATTTTTGTTATGAAGTATTTGCTCACTCGAATACTTCAATACAGAATCCCACCTCGATAGCTCATTTGCTCCGGCATAACAACACTTAGGTAACAGAATCCCACCTTGATTGCCCACTAGCACTGGCATAAAAGAAGCCCACTTCAGTCGCCCACTGGTGCCAACATAATAGAATCTCACCTTGGTCGCCAACTAACGTCGGCATAACAGAATCCCACATTGGCTACCCACTCCCCACTAGCGCCGGCATCACATAACAACACTTCACAACATATTTTTCAATGCATTTCATTAATTAAAGCATAATTGGACTGAATTCAAAAGTTGTCAAATTGTCCCAACGGTAGACAACAGAAATACTAGTGAGTAAAAATTCATAATTTCTAAACATAACCTAATTACCACAATTTGTGTAAAATATAATTCTCAAGCTTTAATTAAGTTGAAGCACTATTTTTAGATGTCAAAAGAAATATCTGAATAGAAAAAAATTATTTTTTTTCAAAATCAACTGGCAAAAAATTTTTAGAATATACTCAAAATATTTATAATAACATTCTCTACAACATATTAAAAATTACACGGTGAAAGTTTTACCAAAACAAAGTTATCGTCATTTTTCGATAACAAAAATAAAAATTTGAGCAAAAAAATATCAAAAATGCAAAATAACTAAAATATGAAATAGGCAAAATGTAACCTACCTCAGGACGAGCAAATTTCCCAACTGGGCCGATGGACGAAAATCGCTTTATGATTGTCAAAACCTAGTTTCCCTCTTTCTCTCTCCTCTCTTTCTTATTTCTCAATAAGCATTTCCCTGTTGCACGAAATAAAAGGAAAAGTAGATTTAAGCCATTTAATAAATCCACTATGGATTTAGATATTTTGAAAAATAATAATATTATATTAAATTTTATGTATAAAATTCTTAGAAATTTAAATATTGGGCTTGCACCAATATGAAACCATAACTTGCATCAATATTGCGCCGGCATCACCATTCGCTTTAAGTGCAAGGTGGTGAATCTCTAATTTTAAATATTAAATTTTCAATGAAACCATAACTTGCACCAATATTGCGCCGGCATCACCATTTGCCCCACCATTCGCTTTAAGTGCAAGGTGGTGAATTTCAAATTTTAAATATTAAATTTTCAAATACCAAATCATATTGCTACTATACGTCAGATAAAAAAGTCCCCGCAAAATGAGGGCGAAAATCTCTAGGTAGTGTCTTATTTCAAACCTAATTTGCCCTCTGAAAATTTGCCATGGACGGGACTAGAGGTCTGTGCATGTAGTCTTGAATGAAACCCTTAATGATAAGGAAGAGGAGAGTAAGTAGTTAAAACATCTTGTTGGGGAGGCTGTTGCTGCAATCAGTGGCATGATCATCAGTCCCAAAATCATTGATGATGAAGAGTTGAGAAAGCTGATAGAAGAGCAACATGAAGTTAAAAGAGGATGATATTTTTAATTGTTATTTAAAAAATTAAATATTATGTGAGTAAATAATAAAAGTTATATTTATGTAAATAATAATAATGATTTACCATCTGAAATCTTAATACAGTAAGGCTTAATTATTGTCCTCTTTATTGCTAGTGATTTTTGGGCTCTATAATCACGGATTGAGACTTCTTATGCTGGGAAAAAAAAAGTGAATCATGTTAGTTGTTATATATATGCCTAACAATTTAACAAGAAACTAAAGCTTCGTTTGAGACGGTTTTCTTACTGCTTTAAAGCAGCTTTCTAGTAAAAAAGTACATTTTTATACAAAAAGTATTTGTTATATATACGCCTAACAATTTAACAAGAAATTAAAACTTTGTTTGAGACGGTTTTCTTGCTGCTTTAAATCAACTTTTTCGTAAAAAAGTCAAGTTTTATACAAAAAGTAATAAGAAATAAGAAAGCGGTCTCAAACCAAATCTTAATTTAAAATTTTTTAAAATTTAAATATTACACCAAGATTCATATTTGATCCCATCAAATGAAAATGTGAAGGAATATTCAATTTTTACCTAGAATAGCACAAACATATATAGCTCTAAAGCCACCCAAATAAGTATAAGGAATTAGCTTTCCAATAAGCGTTTTTCATAAGCAGTGCAGTGGTTTTAATTCACATCAGATTCGGCATACTCAAACTGCAAGAAATTATAGGAAGAAAACTGACTTTTCCATTAAACAGAAAATTCTCAAACAAGAAAAATCTGCAACAGAAAGATCAAACTTTGCTTGGGATTCAAGCATGAAAATTAAATGAAATCCGACAGAATCCATTGATGAGCTTTCATCAAATTTCCTATGGTCCAATTACTTAGAAAGAGAAACAAAATAACCTAAAATCATTAAGTTTTCAATCGATTGCTGCCATCTTTTCAGTGATTTCACAGAAGTGTCTGCACACGTGTGAGGCCTCTTCTTCTCTAAGATCATTTATTATTTTTTTATTCTCAAAATCAAGGCATAAATACGCCAAATGTGTAACTTCTAATTTTTTTCATAAGCATCAGAAAAAAGCGCATTTTATAAAAAAGTGTGTTTTTTCAATTAAAATTACTTATAAAGTAAGTTAATAAAAAAATTTAAAAATGAGCAAATACGAAACTTAATTATCCTGATTCAACAGAAACCAGAACACCCATTGTTGCTTAGCTTAGTTGGTAGGCGAGTTGGTTGTGAACCTCCCAACTCGTGCTCGATTCCCCTCGAGCAGCAGCGCCTCTTAAGTGGGGTTCAATCAAGTGTGGGCCAAGAGATTTCTGAGGTGGCTGCATCTTCTAGGTCAGTCGAGATTAGTCACACCGCCAAATGCTCTTTTGGGTGTGGCAACAGGAGGGATACTCCGTTTCAAAAAAAAAATTGGAACTTTGATCGTGATTTTAAAAGAGACTGGATCGAATTTTACTTCCCGATTTCTATAAATTTCTTAATTTTTCTTGTAAATTCTTAATTCTTTTTTTCTAATATGAAGAGAAACTAGGACATGAAAATTCAATTTCTTAAGAAACCGGTTTTCTAATTAAAAAATTCTCATGTACATTGTTTCTTATTTTTACATTGTTTTGCTTATTTTTTATAACCGAATTTCTTAAACCTTTTCTTACTTTTTATAACCGAAATTATAATCGAATTTTTTTATAACCGAATTTTTTATAACTGAATTTCTTATTTTTAAACTGTTTTGCTTATTTTTACACTGTTTTTAATAACAAAAATTCTTATTAAATATTAAAAAACATGCATAATAGTTTTATTTTAATTAAAATTATTGTTTCATTACATTTATTTTCTTTTACAAAATTAAAATAAAAAAATTTAAATTTATTTTCTTTTACAATATTAAATTTCTTAAATATTTAATAATATACTAATAAGTTCTGATTAAAAAAATAAACAAATCAGCTTAAATAAAAAAAATGAGAACAAATAAAAATAATTTTATTTTATTTTTTAAAACATAATCAGCTTTTAAAATAAGCAAATCAAGAAATTCAACATGAAAATTGGGTTTCTTAAGAAATTCCGATTTACAGTACAAATTCTGATTGAAAGATTTCAAATTCAAACTAAATTGCATGAAACTTTTTTTTTTTTTTGTAATAAGATAAAAATTGAAGCAAAAAAAAAACAAATTTCCATATAAAAAACTCTACACTGAGCCACACATAAAGTCCCCAACAAGAACATCTAACCTCCCTCCTTTTCTCTTCATTGATATCATTAAATGCAGAAGCCAGCTGTAACACTTCACAGATCCATGACAGTGAGAGGAAGCTAACCCATACCTACAAGCAAACAGATCCATCCATACACAAATTTGAATTTCAAATCTTCCTTCACTTCTCCTCCATTCAGAATTTGAAAGCTTACCATATTGGAATTCTTTTTTCTTCTGAATTTAAGTTCAAATCTGATGAGAACTGTAAAGTTTATGTGAGATTATTGTATTGGAGTAAAGTTAGGTATTTTGCATGCATCAGAAATGAACTGAAACTAAAACTGAAGCTAAAACATTTGCAATTCAATCCATTTCATAAGTGATTGCTCCCAACTTTGTTCTGTCTCCCTACAATCCATAGAAGTGTTCTTCTTGCAAATGAAGGAGTTTGTTCAATCTGAGAACAAGAACTATTGACACAGCTACCAACTTCTACATCCAGATCCATCTCACTTCCACTCTTCTCCCACTCTTCTCCTGAATTGAATCGTTTCTTCTTGGAATCCTCGGCGAGGAAACCATGCAATGGCGAGCGGAAAGAGAAGGCTCTTCTTGAAGAATCGCGGTCGAAAACCGCCTTTTCTTGTCTTGGTTGGAGCCATATCTTTGAAACTGAGAAGCTCTCCTTCTTGTGAAGATTGGAAGCATTGTTAGCTCTGAGCTCAGAACTGTTGAATTCATCCAAGGCTCTGAATTCTTCCCTTCTTGGATGGCAACCACACTCCGACATCGCCGAACGATAACCTGGTCTCTTGACACTGAGCTTCTTCTTCTTAATGGAATTGAGTGCTACTTGAAGCATACAGCTCTCATCCATTACATACTCATATGAACCCATGGAGAAGCATCTCCTCTGGCTCTTTTCAAAATTCCTATTGCCAGTGCTACTTCCTTCTCCTCCTCGTTCAATATCAACATTTCGAAATTTCCCAAGCTTAACAGATACAACCTTTTCATCCTGCAACCCAAATGAAGCTGAACTTAATTCCTCCTTGATCACAACCCCAGATGTTTTGCGAGATGAATCCGAAACCCGCGGCGTAAAATCGTTCTCTCCAGGGAGTCCCAGGTGTTGATTCAGCCCAGGTTCTTCTCTATTAGATGCCAGAAACTCCCTTGAACTCTCACTTCCAGATTCAAGCACTAGGACTACTGGATTGAAGCTATTATGAGCTGGAGAATAATCAGGGAAAAGGCTTCTTCTGCAAAGAGGACAAGTGGAGTGGGAAAGAAGCCATGTATCTATGCACTCAATATGAAAGGCATGGCTGCACTTGGGAAGAAGCCTGAGCTTGTCCTGTGGCTCAAATTCACTCAAGCAAACAGCACAATCAAATGGGTCCTTTAAGCCTATTATGGCTTTGTAGAGGAAAACAGGTAAGGTGTCAATGAAGGACTGGTCCACCCCTGCATCATGGAGATGGAAGAGCTCCTGAAGCTGGCCTTGTAGAGCAGTACCATTGTCTGAATCTTCTGGTTCTCTTACTGTGGGTCTAAGGAGGAATCTAACAAGAAGGTGAAGAATACCAGAAACGAAGAAGATGACTGCTAGTATTACAATTATGAGAAGGATGCTTGGGCTGATTTTACTCTCAAATTTGGTAATGGAAAGTGGAGGAGGAGGAGAGATGGAGGAAATTATCTCCTTGGATGGATTCATGGAGACCCAATCCATGTATACTGGCTTTCAGGAAAGGCATAAAGAAAGAGAGGAGGAAGAACTAACCAGAGCTTGATTTAAGTTAAGCTCTCGTGTGAATTCAAGAAGAAGAGTCTCAGAAGAGAAGAAGCGTGATGAAGAAGAAGAGGTGGGTGGGTTAGTGATGGATACAGGAATTATGGGAGGCACAGAGAGTTAAATGAATTGATTGTAATGGCTGAGGAGGAAGACCAAAGCAATTAAAGCTAGTAATAGCTGTGGTTGGAGAAAATGAATGAAAGCAGTATGATAAGAGGGATGGGTAAGGATAGAGAATTAATATATGATGGTTAGTGATGATGAGATAGATCTCTGATGAATTTAAAAAAAAAATAGGATAGGCTATTCCCTTCATCTTCAGTTTGACTTCGAAGAGATAACAGGCTGCAAATCCAAGATGAACATTAATTTACTGTACAGTTTAACATACGGCCAAATTAGTATAGATTTCATAACTCATCGTTGGCCCAAATTATACTGTGTGGACGCCAAACCTTCTCGATAGATCAATCAAAATGCATCACGTTTTGCTCATTAGCCGGCTCGGTATTGTTTGGTACCGCTCGGTACCCAGCTTTGTATTGATGATGTGGCTCATTTTGAACTGTGTTCGGCATCCACACATAATAATTTCTGCATCATTGAACTCATGATGTGCTATTTACTCCTTATGTTAATTTATTTCTCACTTTTTCACTAATGACTATTGTCAACTGCTATTTTATTTGACTCGGGGAGAAATTATTCTACGTATAGGTCGGACACAGTTCTATGTTCGCATACAAATTACGTGTAGTCATGTCAGCAGTATTGAGCCGTGGTACCGAGCAAAGGGTGGCATGATACATTTTGATTGGTCTCCGAATGACGTTCAGTATCCACACAGAATAATTATTCAGAAGAATGTGGATACTATCGTGAATATATCAATATAATATTTTAAATGTGAATTTTACATACAACATTGTGATTATGCATTATTTATCAGTTTGTGATGCTTATTGTGAGATTCTGCGATAGTATTGCTATGAAAGTCTTGTCCCTTAATTTTGTATATATCTGCTTTCATTTGCTCATCTGTTCATTTGAAGGTTACTCTCCTTTCATGTGATTTATAAGGTATTTTTGATATTAAATTGCTTTGATATAAATTAATGCTTCGTTTGGGATGACTTTCTTACTGCTCCTTAAAATAAATTTTTATACAAAAATTAAAATTTTTATATTAAAAAACTGTTTTAAGAAATAGTAAAAAAATCATCCCAAACGAAGTCTAAATATGAATAGAGATTGAATTATGACTTATATGGTTGTTGTAAGAATTTATTGCTAGCATTTTTTATGTGGATGTTGGCATAGCTAAAGAATATTTAAATGTAATTTAAGGTTCATAATAGAGCATAAGTATGTTAAATCAATAGCATTGAAATGAAATAGAAGAGAATGAATGATAGAAGAAAGGGAAGTGAAAAAGAGAGAGATTATCTTGCCAAGGATTAAATGAAGAGAAAAAACAAGAGGGGTCATTCATATTTGTTCGAATCAAATAAATTTTAATTTATCATCAACTAATATTTATCATTCATCACAAGTGCTTACATTTAGAACATAACAAAACAAATGCATAATGTGGTAATTATTGATAAGACTTGTTGCGTCCTTGAGTATTCGCGGCGGTAGAGAAATATAAAGCTTAATGTCTTAGCATTGTACAAAGATTCAGCACACAAGCAGATGAAAGAGAGAAGATGCATCATTTATAAGAGATACCAAAATTTTTATGTGGATACTCCTGAAAATGGGGAAAAACCACGGGGACTAGTCCAGTTTGAATGAATCCAATCGTATTTACAGTTGATTACAATTAAGGCCCTTTCTTGGGAGAAGGCATTGGCTTGATGTCACAAATGTACATCATATAGAGCGCATTACATGATGGGAGTTATAATAGTCAACATAGACATGTTTGTTTGGTTGGCAGGACCATATTTGGTAGGATAGAGATCGGAAAGATTGTACTAGGCAAGAGGTCTGGGTCAAAAAGACTGTTGTATGACGATGTATGTTGGAAGGACCGTAGAAGATAACTGAGGTCAGAAGGACCATAGTCGGTAGGAGATAGGGGTCCGAAAGATCATAGTTGGCAGGAGACCATGGTTAGAAAGACCGTTGTCTGGTGATGGAGGTTGGAAGGACCATAATAGGCGACGGAGGTCGGAAGAACTGTAATCGGCAGGAGATCGGGGTCAGAAAGACTGTTATTTGGTGATTGAGGTCTAAAGGGTCATAGTAGACGATGGAGGTCGGAAGGATCGTAGTCAGCAGGAGATAGGGGCCCGAAAGACTGTAGTAGTAGGGCGGTACTTTGGGAGAACTCTGGGCATCAGGGGGTGGCTCGACAGAAGTTCGGGCCTCAAGTGGTGGTGCGATAGAAGTCTGAGCCTCAGGTGGTGATCTGGCAGAAGTCTGAGACTCAGGTGGTGGTCCAGTTGAAGTTCAGACCTCAGGTGGTGGTCCGGTAGAAGTCCGGGCCTCAGGTGGTGGTCTGGCGGAGCTCTAGCCCTTAGGTGGTGGTCTGGTGGAACTCTGACGTCAAGAGGTGGTTCGATGGTGCTCAAAGCCTCAAGTGGTGGTTAGGCGAAACTCCGGGGTTAGGCGGTGGTTTTGTGGAGCTCAGGGCCTCAAGTGGTGGTCAGACGGAACTCCGGTGTTAGGTTGTGGTTCGGCGGAGCTCAGGTTCTCAAGTGGTGGTCCGGCAGAACTTCGACCTTAGGCGGTGGTTCGACGGAGCTTAGGCCCTCAGGTGGTGGTCTAGCGAGCTCAGGCGGTGGTTGAGGAGGAGCGAGGAGGCAAGAGAGATCTCCGATCTCTCTCTTGTTCTCTTTCTTGGAGCCCCCCTTTCAAGAGAGAAGAGGAGGTCTATTTATAGATTTCCTAGGGTGGGAGGGCCCGTAAATAGGTGGGATATATCAAGGGCATATGGGGAGCGGCTTGGATGGACGGCCGATGTTGAATCCCTTGATCATGGATCATTTGATGGACATTTGATTGTCTTAGTAATTTCAGAATGCATTGACCTTGGACTCGTTGGATTTGTCTCGTCGATCCGCTCGATTTGACTATAAACACTGGAAACAATTTGGTAATCCAAATTGTGGTTCGATTCCTCCAACAGCGCTTCAGACCTTTATATAATTTGGACCCATTTGAGCTCAGATTGAGTCGAATTCGGTGTTGTTGGGTTCGTTTTTTTAAGACGTTCAGTTCGATTATAAGTTTGCTGAAATCAAAGTTCAGATGATATCCGATTCAATTTTTAAAGTTTCCAACTTGATACCCGATCAAGATAATTTTTGCACACGTATCAAGACTTATTATACATTACTAAACAAGTAAAATCAAAGCTAAAACATCAATAATTTGGTTGTCCCGTGCATCAAGTGGGCTACTAATTAGGGTTTGACACTGATATGATAGTATTCTTTTCAATTATTATATACATATGAATCATATTTTTTTATATAATTTTTGTTGAAAAGTTGTGCTTGGATATGCATCAATGATTAGATAATAGTGGGATTCTTTTTTTAATTTGTATTATCATTCATAAAATATTTTATCTCTTAGTTCTTTTACCTTTAGGAGATAATATATTGTATTTTATCTCTTTTTTATATGTATTTTTACTTTTTACTTGTACCGTTTATGAATCAACGAGTATAATAATGTATTGAATCATTTCAGTCTTATAGTGATACTGAAAACTGCATTGATTTTGTTGCTACGAAATAGTTTCCCGTTCTTACTATGATAATGAACGGATAATCACAATCATAAAATCATTTTGCAACAAACATTCATGACTATGTCTTTATTACAAACTCAAACGACAAATCTCTCAGACCAATCGAATATAATTTATGACTAATTATTCTACAGTAATCTTCACAACAAATTTGTCATTTGCAACATTGCTCAATGAACTAGCTATGAATTTTGTGGTCAAAACCCCATTGTGCCACCAAAATAAAAGTCATTCTTTAGGGACCAAATGAATGAGTATGTGGTCCCTAAAGTTAGGGGTGTCAATATTTGACACGACACGAAAATCCGACCCGGAAAATCCGGGTTGAACCCGACCCGATTTCAAAACGGGTCGGGTTCGGGTTCCAGAAATCGACCCGTTTCAAAAACGGGTCGGGTTCGGGTTGACCCGGCGGGTTGGCGGGCCGCCAACCGGTTTAATTCGAAAAATTTCGAATCCCGCCTCTGCCCGCTGCCCGCCCGCTGTTGACCTCGATTTTGCCCAGACATGGGCATGATAGGTTGAGTTGACCAAGTCAACCTTTGACTTGGTCAACCCAAGTCTTAATGGGTCAAAATTGACCCATTAAGCCCCTTTTGAGTCCAAAACAAATTCAAACTCTTTCATGGCTCAAACCCAATACCCATTAGACCTATTTGACCGAGTTGACCAAGTTAGCACATGACTTGGTCAATCCAAGTCATAATGGGGGGACACCATCGAAAGCTATTTTGCATAGCATAGAAGAAACATAAATAATAGAGGGTTGACATTCAAAAAGTCTATTAACTTTTTATGGAGCACTGATAGATTCACAATTTATGCTTGCAAAAGTGGGAAATCTGACCGTAGGTCCTTAATTAAATAAAGATTAAGGGTTCGCTTGGGACCGCTTTCTTACTGCTTCTTAAAGCAATTTTTTAGTACAAAAATTTTAATTTCTGTACTAAAAAATTGCTTTAAAAACAGTAAGAAAGTCGTCTCAAACGAAACCTAAATAAATAAAAGTGTAAATTTATATTGTAAATTTCCTTCATTGATTGAACCAAAAACAAATTAGTATATACTACTAACAATAGTATAATCAGGGGGATTTGAACTATAATATTTTTGATTTAGTACTATTAGTATTCTAATTATTTTATTGATGTGTATTCTATTTTGCATTAATTGATTATGACAGATTATGGGAAAATGTCTTTTGTGAAGGGGTCTAACATAGTAGTTGATATGTCACCAAAAATTGCCTTGATGAGGCACGAATCTCAAAGCAAAATTGAGTTGAAAGCTTCCGAAATTAAATCAAAGACCATCCAAACTTTGATTTCAGCAAACTTATAGTCAGACTGAACATCTCAAAAAGACGAACCCATCGACACCAAATTCGACTCAATCCGAGCCCAA